TCCCTCATTAAGATTCCATTATTATCGAGTTTGCCTTTCGGTCGGTGACAAAGTTCGATGAACTAATACGTAAGCATTTTACCGTCAATTTATTATATGCGATATGATGACGGCGATACACCGCGGAGGGAAAAAGGTACGAAAGTGGAAATTATTTATTATTTAAACGCGAAATTTATTGGAAAACTGATTTTACCTGCGGACATGTAAATTGTATTAAGTTCGATCGTTTCTTAAAGAGTGCGCGACACGATCGTTGCATACATTAAAACACTTGAAATCTCTGTGCACGTAGAGATATTAGTTGTTGTAAAAATAACTCTTACGGAAATCGTACAATTTGCAAACAAAAATTGATTTGAAAATACGACTTCTCAAATGTATTTATTATTACATTCAGTTATAAATTACAAATTATAAAGATAAATAATTGACTTGCGAATATCTAAATTGCAAATGATTGACTTGCGAATATCTAAACTGCTGAATCTGAAATATTTATGTACCACGGTAAATTCTGTCTGTGCCATAATTAAGAGGTAAATGGACGTTACGCGAAATGACACGAGGAACTTCACACGCATTTAGACAAATAATGACCAAATTTATTGCCCGCTGGAAATCGATGAAACCAGGACTGCTTTGCGGAAGTACGAGGATTATTTATTGCCCGCGAGATAGCCCCCGTCTGAAAAGCAATGGCAGTTTTTTAGTCTTATCGACGTCGGCCGTATTAAAGCTAGGAGAACAAAGAAGAATGACGGAGTGTTTATAAATTTATCGGCAGTGACAGCGAGGAAATAGTTCGACGCGCAATTTATAAGAATGCTAAAGCATGCACCTTATTTATCATCAAAGCGTGCGACAAAGCCGCCACGTGCGCTTAATGATTTTGATATTATATTAAAATCAATAACGTCGATGAATCGAGAAATTATCACAAAATACAACATAAGCGTAAAATACCGTAAAAATTATGCGTATTAATTTTTATTACTTTTAATTCCAATATTTTTTCTGTAATGTACATTTATTTGGTTGTTTAAATAACAATATTCAAATAAATCAAAAATACGTCTGTACATATATATATATGATGGATTGATTTAGTTTCGATTTGAATGATTTTGCTTCGATAAAAATATCTCTTTTAAATTTTAATAATAGTACTAACAATGAATTTTACTGATGATTCGTTAAAAATTTTATATATGCGTGCATGCGTGTGATACTTTTGTTCTCATTTTCGCACGTTTTGTCGCCGTGATAAGTGCGTTATCCATCGGTTAGTGAACATTCGTTGAGCTTTTGATACGGTGCATTAGCGACAAACGGAAAATCACGATTTGTCATTTTCAGCTTGCTTTATGATCCAGCACTACCCAATCGTCACATGATTCACCAGTGTTGCGCTTCAATAAATCGTTATCATAAATTATGATTCTTTCTCGCTCGTGAATCGTAAAATATGTCGCAATGAAAGTATCGGACAGTCCATGTGTTAAATGTTGTGTATAGATGTCTTTTTGTATGTCAGGAGGATATAAAATTTCTTATATGAGAAATCCTGTCGTGAAAGGATAATAGTACATGTAATTTTTCTGCTATCATATCACTAAGTGACGGCTAAAACGAGAATGTTAAAAATTAATAAATTATGCATCGCGCTTGAATATTTCTGGTAAGATTTTTCTAAACTAAGACATTGTGATTTCATGCATCGTTATCGAACACAAGGCATAAAATAAAATCAAATAAAATAATTTCAAGAGTCACGTTAAATTGAAATTGTTAAATTAAATGCATTAGATTGCTAACGGAGCTTCTCTTTAAGTCAGGCAGATTTACGCGTAATAAAATATGAAATTTTGTTGATTTTCGTTAACTCTATGCGTCAAGGAGTGATTTCGAGCGACAGAATGAACTAGCGTGCCACTACTCTCTGATCGTGAATAGTTCTTTGTGCGAGGGTCTCGAGGGGTTGGAAACTGTCACGGACGTGGCGAAGTGTCGAGGCCGGGTCGTAAGTAAAATGAATTTAACATTTGGCGTTTATATGCGGCCTGCAAACTACGCGCCGTGGGAACGAGCTCGACAAACTCGACGTCGCGAATTAGGCGCGACGCCTGGTCGTATACGCCTAATATCTGCTGTACCAACGCGGCTTCTACACACATTACGACGGACACGAGGATGCCGACGCCAAAATTTATCGCTTACGTAATGGAGAGAAGCGGCATCTCACTGAGAGATTGCGCCGGTCTGCATCTCGTCAAACTTTATCAATGTTTTATATCAATGCGAATTTGATAGTTGAACGTGCAAAAATAACGACAACTTGTACGAACCTAAAACTTGAAATTATTCACACGTTGGCAGACCGCCAGTTTCAAATTTGAGATTAAGTAGATATTAAGGGGGGAACTTATGCAGCCCCGAAATTAAATGAGGATTTTGCATAGAACTTTGATAATTGATAATTTGATAATTGATGAGAGAACTTACGGGCGATTAAGTCACGACAAAGAAGCAAAGATGAATATCTTCCTCACTCCGACAAAATCCTCTCTATGTAATTTTCTTCGGCACGGAAATGTCCGAGTGTAAATGTCGCGATTATTATCGCGAAGAACGTTATAAGAGAAAGACTATCGAGGATAATTATCTTGTAACACGAGATTGGGAAAAGTACATTGTGTATTATTGTACGTGTAGCGAATTGCTCGCTTTAGAAGCAAGCAACGGCAATTTATGTAGCGCCGCGGATGTAATTATCATTGACAACGCACGTTGAAGTATCTGCGACACAATCTACGAGTGTGTGTTGAGATCGTTCCATTAACTACGGTCGTCACGGGTTGTCCGCAATTCAGATATAATCGAGTAGAGCTAGTTTAACAAAATTTCATCCTCGAATTTCGAAATTCAAAATTGCATCTAAATAAATCTATAAACTCGCGTTTAATAATATAAAATAAAGTGACGTGCGGAGCAAACTAACTCTTACGTTATCTCTCTTGTGTCGTACATAATTAAAACGATTCAATTTTATTTCTCAATCTTTTTGTCAAAATGTGATATATAAAACGTTACATTTCATCTCGATCATTTCTTTCTCTGGGAAACGTTGAATGTAATTGACAGTGGAAAGTAATAAATGTGGTTCATGGACTGTCAAGAAATTTATGCGACAAAGTAATTACGATCGAGCAGAGAGAGAGTAACCACGTGCTTTCTGACATTATAGAATTGATGTCGTCGGTTCGACGCATGGAAATAGCGTTTCCATAATAGTGCGAGGAAATCGCTCCATTAACGGTGATCACCTCAAGTAACCCGCAATTTGGAAATAATTGAACAGGGCACGATCGAATCCAACGATTTAAGCCGTGCGCCATCAGCATATTTCCGCATGTTAATCGACATCTCGCATGCTGCATAATTTAACGTGTGCATAAAATAGTGTATTAGTGCTTTCGATCTATTTTGCGCAATAAAATATATAAAATTGATTATATGCTTTGTGATCGAAGGATATTAAATAGTAATCGCGATTGATATTTGTGAAGTGATGTCCTTCTTCTACCTCGACGGACCTGTCACGGTAAAAGTGCCTCAAAAGAAGATTCAACCGAAATTTTCAATGCAAATGAAAAGTAACGAAAAACGTTGGAAACGCACGGTAGGATAGAATCCTCGCGACGAATGTTCTCTTCTGGAGTGCTGGGTATCCCTGACACTTCCCTATTTTACTTTCATCTCTTTCCTCACGCGGCACTCGATCTAATTCACACATTTACAGAAAACGGTGCGTGTGATACGTGTGTCGTACGTGTGTAACATGTAATGCTATATATCATATATATATATGCCTATATTATGTATATAGATCCGAGCTGAAGCTACGAAGCGTGAGAACGGCTATCTATGGAGCATCGCTATTGTGTATTGCACTCGTGAGTCTTGTGTCGGACAGAAGAAGCCGCGAGATGCCCGTCATGGGCGCGGGATAGGGTTTCTTTGGTCACGGCTGGGACGAGGTAGGAGGCAGGTCGAGTCTCTCATGGCAGCGAGGGATCTCTGATGGCGAACGAACAACGAAAGTGGCTCCCATTTGCGACGTCGATAGAGCGCCGAGGATTTCACGAGAATCCCCTGTTTCACCCGCCGTGGAACGGTGAGACGCCAATGGGATAATTCTCGGTAGTTTTCTGCACTGAAATTTGGCCGCGAGCTCGTTAAACGAGAACGAGATGTGCACCCGTAATTGGTAATTGGACGGTAATTAAGCGGCGAAAGCCGCGATTGAGGTACGTTTTTATCGTTACGATTTCGACAACGAACTAATTACTTATTAATTCCCGGATATGCCGTATTAGAAAAATGTACAAAAATTCATATAAATATATAAATATTTATTTAAATATTTATTTGGCTTTAATTACAACCATTTATATTATATATATAGACTCAAGCGGTGGATAAGTTAAAAAGATATTAAATAAAAAGAATTTATAAATTTTTTTATTAACTTTGAAATGGCTTTATACTTTGCATTAGCCAACATATATTATCACGACTGATTGTAAAAAGATCGATTTTATTTCCAGTAAAGAAACATTAAATGCAAATTGACTTCAAATTCGTAATATTCGGAAAATCTGTACTGGATAGGATAATCAGAAATTTATTAAGATTTTATATCATATTGCTATCATCACGTATGGGAAATGAAAATTTTTGTGGCAGACTTTCCGAAGATTGTAATCGTGAAAATGTGAGACCTTTCCCTTTGTCGCACCGCGCACGGCGGTGACATCGACTGCACTTAGGACCGCCACATTTCATGGTTTTTCGCCCTCTTTCACCCTTCGCTTCCGGTTTACCCGAGTAAAAGCGCGTGTAGCTCATTCGGAAGAATTCAAGGGATCGATAATAATCTTGGTGCTCTCGGTGTGTATTGAGCGTGTGTCGGTGTGTAAGTGGAGACAGTAGTGTACCTGGTTGCCGTCGTAGGTCCAGGATCCGAACTTCATGTCACAGTGTTGGTCGTCAAAGGGGAACCAAGTGATGTCTATCTTGCATGTGCTCTTGAAGATGCCCGGAGGGACGTACAGGCAACTGCCGTTATGCGTGACCACCACGTTTGTTTGGTACGTCCCGTCGAAACCCTCATCCGCACTAACGTTTCATATCATACTTCCATTAATTACCCTCGTCAGTCGTCAATCGTGATCGTTTCGCGGTCGGTTTAATAGCGCGTCTCTTTAATCACCGTATGATAGAGCGGGGCCGTCAGTTCTTACTGTCGCCGGCAAGATCTCGCACGAAGAATATTGACAAACGGAGAACGTCACGCGGATGTCGCGCTTCTCCGAAAGTAAGGAGATGGATGGGATATTCGAAGCATGAGGGAATTTCTCCGTTCTAATTACATTTTCTTGTGACACTGTAATATCCATTAGAGACACTGTCTTACACGAAAAAAATTAACAGATTCAAGATCAAGCGCGGATAGAAATGCTGAGATTACCGAACTTTATTGTTTCACTTTACGAACGCATGTTATGGCTTGTATTTCGCCACTTATCTAAATTACAATATCTGGCTGTATCTTTCACACATAGAACGTTTTGAATGGATAATAAGATAAGAAAATGAAGAAGAACGATAAAACAGAGGACACTAGCGAATGTTATTATTCATGAAAATACAAACCGTTTAGGAGCGCTTTTACGATGGGCTCTTTAAACGCGACCCGGAATTGCGATGAAAAAGAGAAAGGACGAAAGGGAAGAGAAAGAGGATGAGAAAGGATACTGCGAGCCAGTTCGTGTTAATCCCTTAAGAATAATTCGAATCGGCCACTTAAACAGCGTTAAGGGATAAAAGCGGATATTCGTGCTGGTCCTGGGAACCAGGGATCCTGCGCGCGCGAATCTTTATGACATATTTATTTAGCGTAGCGGCTTATTAAGTTTTCGGATGTACGATAAGAGAAGCAAATACAAGGACTACGCGAAAAGGATATTCCTATTCCTCTAGGAAATATATACTAATAAATTGCTGAGGCATCCTTTATGTTGTCACGCGAACTATACCCAGTTCAGTGTAGGTAAATCGAATATTAGACGACCTGCGAGACAACCTAGTTGTAGCAATTGATGCTCGCGAAGGTGCTCGTGAAAGCAATGTGTTGGCGTCGTTAATGTTCTCTCAGAGTCGTTACGAGAAGGCGGCATCGGTATTGTCGAAGGTTTCGAGGATGTCATTCTCGCCAATCGAAAATCGATGCCGTAGTATCATTAAAGCCCTTGCGCTTCTAGCTACTTTTACACGTTATCGCGAAATGGAGAACGAACGAAGAGGATAAGACAGGACGGTGAGAGGGTGGCGGGAAAAAGGAGCGCTTCGGTGATTCTCCCTTTGGAGAATAAAGTTAATTAATTTCATCGGAGAATTGAATTTTCAACGCCATTGTATTAATTGTTATCTTGCGTCATGATCTTCGTACGTGATCTTGCGGCGTTCGTCCGTTTATTCGCGGTGAGATATTAAATACGGTCCTGTCGGTTTTGTATGTTTTGCCATTTGTCCCAGATCACGGAACAGAATGACGTATATTCTCTCTTTCGACGTCGATTAACGCGTGTTTTAATCGAATTCGTGCGCGTGCGACCCAATATCAAGGAAAATAGGCTTACGATATCGACCGGTCTGAAAAACCGGTCGAACGCTCTCTCTAATGTACGTTCATTCCGGCGCGTTATGGATAGCGGCATTGTCGTCGTTGTTGTGTGGCTAATGAAGACTAACGAGAAACGGGATTTCGTCCAAAAAGTGTGTCCGGCTAATTAATCTCGTTCGTGCACGACGGAACGAAACCGTGTTGCAGCGAGTACCGGGCATTGGATTTTGTCGATCGTTGTTCCTCTTTTACAGAGAACTTCGTTATCCCGTTGCCGCATTTGTTTCTGGATGTATGTGAGGAATGCGCGATACGCTGGAATACAACTACTACAGACGGCGTTTCGTGGCCATTATTGCGATGATATGTTGTTATGCGAATGTTAATTAGTTACGAAGAAAATATTACAGCGTGGCTACAGCAATTTATAACAGAATCGTGAGAAACTGCACACGTGGCATCCAACATTATCGGCGACCTGGTCAATAGAATTCGCGATAACGACACGGAATTTAATGATCGAATTGTAAGGGGCTAATTAACGACATCAAGGGACGCATTAATATATAGGTTAATGGCGATATTCTGACTGGATTATCGCGGGAATGACAGATCGTTTCCGACACATTATTGACAGGAGTGTCAATTATATCGAGTTGCGACAACACGATCTCGATTTATCTCCGATATGATTTCACAGAATTTTCTTAGACGATAAAGGTGAAAGTTCGTTCATTTTTTATTCTTTTAGAAGCGATGTACGCGCTGTTTGCCGAATGGAAATTTTAATGAAGTACGGTAAGTAATATACGACAGCACGCGCTTCCATTATCATTGACGAGGAATACGTTGTATCAAGAAAGTTACGACACTCTTGATGTAACTTAACGTAATCCCGTGTAATGGAAGTTACAATTTAGCTCGACGTTGCATTGCACTCGATACCGTTCCATCATAAACTTTCCGTGAATTTGCGAAAGTTTTCGTTAATACCTCTCGACCCTACGACAACAGCGGCCGCAAAGTTTCCGCTCGAAGAGAAATCAAGTACCTGAATGCCTAACGATTGTTCGACATTAAGTACTTGCCCAGGATAGGACGGCTAAGAATATAAGGAAGTTCCATGCATGCCACAAACTGTCGTTACGCGAAATCTTTTCATCGTGTTGGTATGGGTCGCTTAGCACAATGTGAAACGAAGCAAAAGATTATTCAATGTGAGTTAAGGATGCGTTACGCATATTTACAAAATAGTAAAAAAGTCCGAAAAAATTACAGATTATTCTAGATCATATTCATAAATAAAAGTAATGAAAAATTTTATATAGCAGCAGTTTGAAACCTAGCTAAAAAGTTACTTCAATCAGACATAGTACCTTTTTAAATTTGTTTTATGAGAATGTATGGAAGTATTATAAAATATTATAAAGTATTATAAAATAATGACAAAGATCTCAATGTTTTTATAGTAAATACTTTAAGTATTTAAGATGATTTATATGAAGTTTCATTGCAATGAAGAAATTAATTGCTCTGTAAATAAATAAAATTATTTGTTTACAGAACAATTAATCTCTGCATTGCAATAAAACTTTGTATAAATCATTTTGAATACTTAAAGTACTTGTATAAAAAAAACAGAAAGATATTAAGATCTTTGTCATTATTTTTTAAATTTTAGTATTATGGCAATTAAAAGTATAATAATAATAAATAAAATTAATAAACCAATAAAAACAGAATATTATAAACACAAAACTTTTATACGTATAGTTTATTTAAACTATTTAAAGTATAAATATTAACATACACATTTGTAAAAATGAGTATTATACATCCTTAAAGTTTACCACGATATTCTTTACAAGTTGCAAGTTGCGTAAAACATAATTTTTGTAGTTAGCAGCTAAATCACGGTAATTCTAATTTATTCAAACATATATATACTAACGCAAAAAAATCAATATAGATAATATTTCGGAGATTGTAACGCGTCCGAACGACGCTTATCAACATTTTACAATCCATGAAATCTTACTCACATTAATTTTTTTGCTTCATTGGCTTTGCGTTTTGGCTCTGGAGCTCAAATTGAACAGGCCTAATATATACTCATATCGTACTGATCTGGCATATTTGATTAGTGGAAAACGTGATATCACAACAAGTAAGATAAAATGAAAAGAAGACACCAAAGAAGATATTATATAATATTACTCCGCAGCAACGCAACATAGATGAGATGGATTTTACTACTATTCAAGATAGTTGGCGCACGGTAATAGGGGTGCACATATCTCTATTTATCTGAAGCTTAGAGCCATCCCAAAATCCGATGGAGGAGTGAGCAGGAAAGCCACGCGAAGAAAAGAAATGAAGAAAGAATGGTGTCTCACCAATGTGATGTTACGTAACTTGTGAGAGGCTTATGTACTCTATTTGATTCTCTAAGCAAGCACCTCTGCCCGAGTAACGGCAAATGTTTGTACGAAACGTCCGATCTTGAACACCTCAATTTCCGAATGGAAAGAACGTCTGTGTGAATTGAACCTTCGAAATAACAATAGTGGAGGTGAATTTGCGCAGGGCGAATAAGAACCGTCGAATGTCATTCCAATGTTCGCAGAACAGAACTACTAGAGGACAGAAGCTAAGAAAAATAGTGGTTTTAATGAGGACACTTAAATTTACGCTTTCGGTGAATTAAAGCTTGAGAGAATAAAAGAAAAACTTTGTTCTTCAAAGCTTTAATTAAATGCTGACAGAAATTTAAATTAATCTTTTACTATCAAAGTGGAATTTTATTGATTTTGTAAATTGTTGTTTTTATGTACGTTAAAAGGAATAGTTTAATTAATGGCAGTTTCTTTTAGAAATTGTAACTTCAAAGTTATTCAATTAACACGGGTATCTAAAGGGGCAAAAGGTTCAATTAGAAAATTGATTGTCAATTAATATTAATTTAAAGATTGAAAATCATCATCTTGAAATATTAATTAAAATAATTTTCAATATTTTATCATAAAATGTATGAATAAAATAATAGTTAGCTAAGTATAAAATAATAAAGTTACGTACTGATGTATTTGCGTTTACGTAGGCTCCACTTGACGCTATAAATACTTCGAAGCGTTTTTTAATCGGTGAATTAGTAAAATTCTTTCTCCCCATTGATCAATCACATGCATCGAGCATTTGTAGCATCAAGTGGATCTCATCTATAGTCATACGTTAATGCCAGAAGCGATTACATATCGACTATGATTGACTGGCGATAATCAAAGTGCGGGAGAGTAAATAAAACAGCAATTGACGTGAATCAGAATAGTGGAGCGGAAAGGATATTCGGCGATGGGCTTCGAGAATGAAACACGGTCCAGCGGGATTAAAGGACAATGTTTATCGAACCGTTCTAGCTTCCTCTTCCTTTGGCGAGCTCTATCCTACAGCTGTGCCGGTGTGCGTCAAAGTCCACGCGTTGCCGCGTTCATGA